AGTGAGATTTTTTTTTATCGTGTACCTATATTCTTTGTCTTTTGAATCATTTTCATTAAACAAATTTAATGTTTTCTTCTCACCAACGCCGAGGATATGTAGGATATTTTACAAAAGTTTTTAGTAACCTCAGATCCTTTAATTTGTGGCCTGAGAAATTTTCCTTAAAAAAAAATAACTTTTTTGATGAAGATGTTAAACTTTTCATAAGCGAGTTTAAGGTGTAGTAATGTAAACGATATTCTGTATGATATTTTTTTTATTATTATCTCTTATATAATTACAAAATATCTATTCCTCAATATTTTGGCGTGGTACACTACTCTCCTGCCTAAAATGAGGATCGAGGACCCCAGCTGCCTCCCCCGAATTTGTTATTTCCTCCAGAAAATTGGAAATTTCTAGCCTTAGCTGGTCCCGATTCATTGTTGGAGAAATTGCATCGGGGCCAAATATTAGGACTCTACGAGCGTTTGGACTAAGACGCTGTAGAGAGGGCCTAAAATGAATGTCAAATAGGCCCATCATATGTTGTCTTATACTTTCTCGATCCATTGTCGGTTAGTTGCCGGTGATATTTTTATTCAAATAAAGTCAATCCTTATATTATATTTATGAATATTTTGGCTTTTATCGATACCGTACATACCGATTTTTTGTAACAAAACATTTATGTTTTTATTTCCTGTGGATATTATGGTACTTATACACGATGAGACAATAAAATAAATGTCTGTTAAATTTCTGTAATGTATGTATTAATTCAATTGCTCACTCTATATAGGTATCTGTTGGTTGAAAAAATGTAAAAAGATAACAAAGAGTCGATAAACAGGAGATTTGAGAAGAAAGTGTCTTGTAAAAATATCACTAGATTTTTCCAATGAGTATATTTGTTTAGTTCAAAGGGAAAAGTGATAGAAACTGGAAACGTAAATATGGAAAATTTATTATCGGACTTTGATTGTTTTCGTCGTTTTAATGACAACAAATTATACTGCCGCAATTGTGATCAGGTGTTAGTTTTTAATGGAAAGTCAAGTATGACACAACATGTGAAAACACAAAAACACATGCAATCTTTAGAGGGATGTCCAGACAAAATCTTTTATGAAGATTTATGCAACGCATTTGTTTCTGCAAATATTCCATTAACAAAATTAAATAATACAATTTTCAAAAATTTTCTTTGTAAATATACTAAACGTAAAATACCGGATGAATCCACAATTAGAAAACATTATATTCAAAATCAGTACGATAAAGCAATGACGGCAATAAAAACGAAAATTTCCAGCAAATATATTTGGGTTAGTGCAGATGAAACGACTGACATAAAGGGTAGATGTGTTGTTAATGTTGTTGTAGGATTATTAAGTGCTGAAAATACTTCACAACAGTATTTAGTTTCTAGTGTGTTTCGTGAAACTGTGAACGCTGAAATGATTTATGAAATAGTGAAACGTGGATTGAACAATGTAATTGATAATGACGTTTCAAAAGTTTTATTGTTTATTTCAGACGCGGCAAGTGTAATGTTGAAAACAGGGAAACTATTACAAGAACATTTTCCAAACATGCTGCATGTAACTTGCCTTGCTCACGCGTTACACCGAGTTTGTGAGTTTATCCGTGACAGCTTTCCAGACATTAATTCGTTGATTAGCTGTTTTAAAAAAATTTTGTTAAAAGCACCGTCCCGAGTTTCTTTATATAAAGAAATATGTCCGAATATCCCCCTACCTCCACAACCAGTTATTACACGATGGGGAACTTGGTTACAGGCTGTGTTCTTTTTTTCGGAGCATTTCGACAGACTAAAAGTATTTATTTCCAACTTATCAGAGGACGCTCTCTCTATCACTCAGTGTAAAGGTTTAATAACAAAAACAACTTTGCAGTCGGAGTTAAATTTTCTTGCGACTTATTTTTCGTGTCTCCCAGAAACTATAAAATTCCTTGAAACCCGTAACTTACAATTATCGGTTGCTATGGAAAAATTTGAATCGACATTGTTACACTTAAAAAACGTAAAGTGGCCCTTACAAGATAAATTTAACCATAAAATAGATTGTGTTATTAAAAGAAATCCAAATTTACAGACTCTGAAACAAATCTCCCTGAACAATTTTAACGATTATGAAACTGCTTTAAAATATTGTGATTTTGTTCCACATTTTTCATTTACTCCTGTAACGAGTTGTGACGTAGAACGATCGTTTTCTAGGTTTAAAGATTTATTGACTTCTAAAAGAAGTAATTTCACTGAAGACAATTTAGAAAAATATGCAGTCATACAAACATATTTTTCAAATGAAGAAGATTGATATTAATTTGTATTGTATATATTGTATATAATTGTATATTTGCTACTTTAGGATAAAGAGTGTATATTGGAACACTCTAAACATAAAACTAATGATGGTGTATCCTCGTTGATATATTTATTAGTCAATAATATATTAACAGAAAAAGCCAACAACATTATCCCACAACACAATAAAAAAATAAATAATAATATCATTTGTAATTATATAATAATATCCAACCAAATTTGAACTAAAATTTAATAAAATAATTATTGCAATGTAAATGTAATAATAAGCCCGCCCCAAATGTTACGCCCGGGCGATAAAAATCCAATATCTTATCTACTGTGTCGACCAGTTCAGTAAATAACTTGTTTTATTCAGAATGTATTATTCAAATCGAAGGTCCGCTCTTACCGTTACTTCGCTGATAAGAATAAATTAAATTGTCCGGTCTTTAGTGATTATACAAAAATTTTATTTATTTTTCCAATATAATATGGATTGCCCTCTAAAATATATATTTATAGTGGCTCGCAAACAGTCTGTTTTTTATATGGAAAATTTTTAATCAGAAAATGTCATTCCTGATAAAACATGATGTTTAATTAAACCTACAACTTTATTTATTTAAACAATTCTGTATCATAAATATAAATTTGGATGTACAGTGAACTAGGTACTCTTCTAGAAACCGAACCCACATTTTTACATATAAAATGAATTTAAAAAAATGTATATAATGCCATATAGTAGTTTCTAGTTAATACAATTAATACAGTTTATTAATGTTCAGCGATAATTCTTTAACACGGTGTCCGATATCAAGGATTCTTTTTTTGCTGGAAAGGGGATACTTCAGGGGTGGCCCTATATTTGATCAACATCTAATAATTAGGTCCATGAGAAAATCCTCAAACTCTTAATTTTTTATGTATGTTTAGCGATAATTCTTTACCACCTTGTCCGATTTCTATGATTCTATTTTTTTTTTGTTAGTAAGGGGATACCTCATGGGTGGTCCCACATAAATTTGGTTAAGATGTGGTGATGGCATCTGCACGATTTTGAAGTCGGTTTTTTTAAAATTACTTTTAATACTTGTTACGTAGATTAAAAAAGTTTAATAATTTGGTGCTTTCTTGATGCGTCGTTTTATGATTTCACTTTGTATATGTTTAGGTACAGATAATTAATATTATTACTGGCAGCTTATTTTATATCATTAAAATAATATTTTGTTAATCCAAAAAAACAAAAAAGCCATGTCACATACAGTGTAATAATAAAAATTAGATATATAAATATAGTATATTATGTACCAACGGACTAAACTTTCACTTTTAATCCCGCCTTTTTGTCGTAAAAGTATTTTTTTAATTTTTACCAGTGACGTCCGTACCAGGTTTGAACTGAATATTTTTGAAGAAAAATATGGTACGCCACTGCTTTTTCTAAAAACCAAAACTATCTTTAAAATCTCATTTATTTTGGAGCAAATTTGGTTTATAAATGTACTTTCGTACGACGCAACCTTTTCGCGTAAGAAAATAAAAACCAAACTTTTTTTTTAAGTTTATTAAAACTGCTTTTGATATTTTGTTGTATCGGCACTCAATTAATAAATACCCTGTATTAATTGATATTACCTTATTCGAAGCAATCGTCTATTTTTTCGTTATTTGTATATTGGTTTTATTTTGCCCATCTTTCACAACTCTATGCTTCTAAATGTAATTTAATCTAACTAAAGCTATTCACTAAATTAAAATATAAAAATAATGTAAAACCGTCTAATAAATCGAACTGCGTTATAACAATATCTCACAATGCAGCAAGAAAAACAAATACGATTCTGGTTTCCCTAATTTAGGTAACTCTGACTCACTCAATGATGAACGTCGGCAGCCGTGGCAGGATTTTTCGGTTCCTTTGTCTCCTCAACTTCGCGCGTTAGAGTTTAGAATATGTATCCCTCGTATCTACATGCAATTGTTAAAATTATGAATGAATGCGGATTTTGTTTAGTCTCGGAAGTAAGTTTGTTGTATTTAGGCTCCACCCTCAAGTTGTAATTTTTATACCTACTAAACTACCGTTGCCCCGCAGGTCTTTCAGTTTGTAATGTAAATTTTCCTCTTAACAGCATTTACAAGAATACTGAATTTAACAAAAACGGTATAAAGATGTTTGAAACGCAATAGGATTAGGGCATTTAAACTGAAAAGTTAAAAATAACCTAAAAGAAAAAGGGACTTATAATAAATTAATTTGTTTTTCTGTCAAAATCAGCTCTTGAGATTTTAAAAATATGAATTAAGGGTTTTTTTTGGGATGCCGATTCTAAACGTGATAGAAAAAGTTATCTAAAATAAGCCCTAATATCCTTTTCCCAAAAAATAAACCCCATTTTACCCCACAACACCAACCGCCAATGGTAAAAAAAAATGTTCACTATGTCAAATACTTCATTTTTCTAACATACAATCACCACCAAAATTTGAAGAAAATTGTATTATAAGTAACTGAGATATTAGGGTGTACTCATGAAAAGCGGGACACACTATATTTCTATTTTTAAACAAATATAATTATATTTTACCAATCTTATCATACATTTAGACAATAAAAATTCTTTCTTCAAAAATCAGCCGAAATATTACATAAAAAAAAAGTATGAATTTTACTTACCCAAACACCAAAGATAGACCCTTCCATATCCTTCAACATAATAGCCTTGGAATTTTCGATTTTGATAGTACTCCATCTGCATTCAAATCGTTCGGAAAGGTTGTGTTCCAACATAATGTCCGGTTTCTGACCTTGCGTGATTGGAGAGCCTATCCAACCAATTAGAGCCATCAATTGACATCCGTTGCACGTTCCGAAACTGAAAGTATCGCGGCGCGAGAAAAATTTGTTGAATTGTTCTCGAATTTGATCGTTGAATATAATACTGGCTGCCCATCCTTTAGCTGAACCCAATACGTCTAAAATACAATTTTATCCAATTTAATATTCAATGAATTACTGTGCATGTATAATGTTTCTAGAACTTTAATAAAATTACTCATATCTTTTTTTAATATTGTACCTTTCTTCTTAGTCCGATTCTTATTAATTAATTTTTCTGAAGGTTTATTACAATAATTACATACTTAAAAACTGTAGATTGTCTTTTCTTTTTAATATTGAACCCTATAGAAATTAAATTTTTGCTAATACGGCATCCATACAAACTATAAACTATTATAAAACTCACCAGCATAACTGAACCCTCCAGGGAAAATGACACCCCTAAATCTATCCAAAGTCGCTACTCCGGTGACCAAATCTTGCATCGTAATGTCCCACACCTTGAATCCGGCTCTTATCAAGGCAGCGGCCATTTCTCTATCTCCGTTCGTACCTTCTTCTCTTATCACAGCGACCGGTACGAGCTCGTCTTTGATATGTTTATCGTCATCGGGATCGAAGGTCAAAACGTACTTGGGACCGGTTCGATTTTGAAGACTTTGGAATTCCGAATCGGCACACGATTTGATTGTCTGGTGAAGTTCCAATCTATAAAGGGATTAAGATGTAAAAGAGATTATCATCCATGTTTAAAATATAAGTTAGAATTATTTTCCTTTTGTTTAGTATTTAACAGTACTCGTATCCCACGTTAACAATAATATCTTCAGTAGTAACTCTAAAACAAGGTCACTGACCTATTTTACAGTTGTCATAAAAGTAACTAAGGAAATTTTCTCTATATTTCTTGTTTTACCAGATTATGAGAAATATTGATGAAGATTCGTTAAAGCATATTAGGATTTTCATAATTCAGTTTGTACAATATTAGGTTAAGTGGCCCATTGTTAGCTTACAAACAACTACATAGTTGGTGTCATTCGTTTGTAAGTGTTGGTCCAACTGAGCGCCTCAGAATGACAGCCAGTCCCTTCGGTTGGTAAAAATATGCATGTACATTTTTAGTAACTTTAAAATAATAATTACTCGTATTTATTATTATTATTTTATTCAAAGTAGAAAATAATAGATGGTGTCAGGTCGAACTAACGGGGTTAATCATTAAACTGGAATAATAAACACCTTGTTGAAACCCCCAGAACCCTGGTCCCTGGACGGAAGCATCGCAGAAAACTGGAAGCGTTTTTCGCCGAAATTTGATCTCTTTATGACAGCCGCAGGTTTAGAAAGCAAAGTTGAGGAAAAGAAAGTGGCAGTATTGTTACGAATAAATATAACACCCTGTGAATAAGTATGTTATGATTTGTAAAGTTTTGTCTAAGGGCAAGCGCGCCAAACAAATATTCAATAAAATAATAAAACGTGTAGTTGGACAAGGTTTTATTAAATCATAATATTAAATTACATGGTCAAAAAAAGATCAACAAAAAACACTCTTGGGACTTTTCAAGTGGATATTCGGGGAGTTCCTTTTGGCCTACGTTGACGATCGGTCGAGTTTATTTAAACAAAGGATATTCCTTTTTTTGTGTCTGAAAGTAGAATCACGGGTCGGTCACGCGAAATCGCGGTTAGTTTTTTTTTTTGTAAAGCTACACAGTGGGAAAAGTAACCTGTGCCTCAACCAGCCCTACAGCCTAAAGGATTAAAATATAATGTTCATGTAAGTAATTAGTTTTGAGTAGTTAATATTTAGTTTTGTGTAGTCAGCAAAGACTACTTAATTGCTGAAGCAATAATAGTTGTTTCTATATTTGTTAAATAAATCATAGTTGTTTGTTTTACGCTTGTTGTTTCAATTTTTTTGGTTTATGAAACCTCACGAGCATTCAAAGGCGGTGGTACTGGCTTAGTCTCTCAGGGAGAAAGAGAGAGATACTGCCAAAGGGATAGTCCCTGTAGGGCAAACCCTTTCCTCGCCCCTCTGAATCATCGTCAGGAAGTTAGGGTTCCATCTGAACTTAACCCCCTAGCCGTGTGTTGTCTAGAGGCCAATTTAAATACAAATTGGGCCCCTCTATACAACTCGTGGTTACCGCTAAGAGTGGGCTTAAGGGTCAGTCAAAAAGGCCTATAATCTCACTCTTAACAGTATTCCTGAATTTAGTCGGAGATGAAGGGCTAGAACTTTTTAACACTTTTAGTTTATTAGAAGCTGAAAAAAGCAACTAGCCATAATAAAACAAAAGTTTGACGAGTATTGCTCACAAAAAAAAAAAATGTAACTTTCGGATGTTACAAATTTAATATGATTTGCCATAAAGAAGGGCAGACCTTTCAACAATTTCGTGTCTGAATTAAAAAAAGCTGTCAAGCAAACAGGGTATAAAGAGCAAGATGAATTGATTCGAGACAAAATTGTTGCACGATTACCCGACAAGTCGACACAAGAACTAAGGTTGAGAGAGCCCAATCTGATATTAACTAAAGCCATAGATTTTTGTAGACCGACAGAAGCTAGCAAATCTCAATCAAAGGTTCTGCAGAATGAAACCTACGATAATTCATTGAGTGCTATTAAAGTAAAAGTCGACAATAGATGAGAACAAAGAAAGCTTGTGACTTCTGTGGATACGATCATAAACCAGGAAGATGTTTAGTATATGGGAAAACGTGTGCTAAATGTCAAAAAATCATTTTGTTAGTGTTTGCAGGAGCAGAGATGAGAAGGACAAAGTAAAAAAAAAATAAAATATTACATGAAGTACAAGTAGAAGCTACTTGCAAGCAAGATGAATCTGATAGTGACGAGTATGAGTTCTACGTTGATTTTCTGAGCATAGGATCTTTTATAGAATCGCGAAAGGGTGGTGCAAAAAAATGTTACGGAGAGAATCGATCAGGATCAATGGTAAAATTATAACAAGTAAACTCGATACTGGTGCTGAAGTGTTATGCCACTTAGTATACTGCCAGAACTCCAAATACCTAATAAAATAAAAAAGATAAAAGTAACACTAGTAGCTTATAAAAAATAAAAATAATTTAAAATAAAACCTGTGTGAAGTACAATATAGTAACCTCACTATTGTTTATTGTAGCTGATGTAAAAAATCAATAACCGTTACTTGGCTTACGAGATTGTGTAAATTTAAATTTAATTTGTAAAGTGTCTGCTGTTAAAGCTAGTTTTAAATCTGTAGATAATGTAATTGAAAAATATTTATCGGTAGTTGAAGGCCTAGATGAGTTCCCAAACGAACACCACATTACATTGAAAGATAATGCAATCCCACATATTCTGCCAATCAGGAGAGTTCCTCAAACATTGTATAATAGGCTAAAAATTAAATTAGAGCAATAATTAGAAAGTCATCAAAAAAGTAGATAAATCTACTGAGTGGTTGAACCCGTTGGTGATAGTAGAGAAAAAAATAAAGACTTAACGTCTTTGTCTAGACCCTAAGTATTTGAAACAGGCCATTCTAAGAGAATATTTTTTGATACCCACCGCTGAAGAAATAACGGCAAAACTGTCTGGAAAAGAATATTGATGTCAGTGTTGATTATTGCACATTTGGAACCCCGTTCGGTATATATCAGTTTTGTCGCTTACCATTTGGAATCAGCTAAGTATCTGAGATATTTCAGAAAAAGAACTATAAAATATTCAGTGATTTAGAAGGAGTAGGCATATACTTTGTTGATCTCATAATCACTGGTGAGAAAGAGATAAAAATTTAAAATTAGTTCTTGAGAGAGCTCTTAGATACAATATTAAATTTTTCTGATGCCTTGGTAAGATTCCCCACTCAACCATTCACTGTTGGGTTCTAATTAACAGTGCTGTTCCTAAAGTGGCGCTGGGAAACAGTAACAAAACCTTCACAGAACACGAGGCGAAATAACCTTAGCAATTGAAGCCGATGACAAAAAAAAAAAAAGATAAAATTTAAGGCACATTTTGCTAAATTTTTAGGCCAAATTGATTCTAAATCTAGTGTTTAATTAAATCCAATATTATGTTAAAGCTATAACAGATATGCCCACTCCTAAAGATAAATCTGATATATTACGGTTATCAGGAATGGCCAAGTTTTTGGAAAAGTTTGTCCCTAACATGTCTAAAATCTCAGCTCCATTAAGAAACCTTACTCGCCAAGACAGTGTCTGGAACTGGGACAACACACATAATGAGTCAAAATAAATTGAAAATGATGCATCAAAATATGGTTTATGCCTCTTACAAAATGGGCACCCAGTAACATTTGCATCAAGAAGTTTATGAGCTGCAAATCAGAAGTATGCTGAGATAGAGAAAGAAATGCTATTGTGTTTGCTGTTCAAAAAACCCATTATTTTATGTATGGTCTTAATGTGAAAATTAATTCAGACCATAAGGCTATTTTTAAAAAAGATTTAGCTAAAATTTCACCACGTTTACAAAGAATGCGTTTGCGGCTTCTTAATTATAATCTTATAAACCTGGGAAGTACCTTTATATATCTGATACACTTTCCAGGGCTTTTTTTGTCTGAAAAGGGATTAAAATCCAATGATGCATTTGAATATGCTATTCACTGTATACAATCTTATGTACAAATGTGAGAAGAACGAATTTAAAACTGCAATTAATGATTGTCAATTGAAAATAATTCGTTCCTTCTGTGAAACAGGTTGGCTGCAATATATGAAACATATTCCTGAATGTATAAGACACTATTACAAACACAAAGATTATTTATATCAGATGGACTGCTTTTAAATTCGAATAAGGTTATAGTTCCTAAAGCACTTCGTGAAGAAATGCTTAAGTTGCTTCATGAAGGCCACATGGGCATTGAAAAGTCAAAAGCTCGTGCAAGACAAATTTTTTACTGGCCAGGAATCAGTGTAGACATAGAAGCATATAATGAAAAATGTAAAATTTGTGAAGAAAATGCCTACCAACAACAAAAAGAACCACTTCTGTCTTATCCACTTTCAGAACTGCTTTGGAAGAGGATAGGTTTAGATATTTTTTCTTATGCTACAAAAAGCTATTTGGTTATATATGATTCTTATTCTAATTGGTTATAGTTGCTTAATATTAATGATAAATCTGCAACAAGTGTAATAAAAGCTAGTAAAATATTTTTTCCATATTTGTGTTCCCAGTTTATGCAGTATGTGACAATATTCATTTTAATAGTTTTAGTTTTCAAGCATTTGCAAAGGAATGGAATTTTAAAATAAATTTTATAAGTCCAAATTATCCCTCTTCTATTGGCCTCGCCGAGAAAGGTGTAGGGATAGGGAAAAACATTGTTAAAAAGTTCTTAGAAGAAGACAGGATATTAAGTCTGCTCTGTTACACTATCGAAACTCTCCTCTTAAGCACTTGGGTTTGACTGCTTCACAACTGCTTTCAGTAAAAATTGTAAAACTGAACTTCCTATTGCAAGTGATTTATTAAAGCCGATATTATGTGAAAACGTACATAAAAAAGACAGAACTATAATAAAATGCATTATAATGCATATTAGTTATATATCTCAAGATCAAATTATCAACGCAGTTAATAAATTAAAAAATAAGTTAACCTGTGGTCCTGATAATGTTTCATCCAAACTGGTGAAAAATTATATAGGTTTTTTGTCAGTACCACTCTTTTACATATTTAATCGTATACTACAAGAAGAGGTCTATCCAGACATTTGGAAAATATCTAGAATCTGTCCCCTTTTCAAAGCTGGTAAAGTTTCTGATATATCAAATTACAGACCAATCGCATTAATCTGTTTTTTCCAAAATTTTTGAAATTATATTTTCTAATATATTATATTCCCACGTAAAAAATTCAATCACGGAATACCAACATGGTTTTGTGAAGCTCAGAAGTACCGCGTCAAATCTGTGTACATTTACGCAATACATATCTAGTTCTTTAGATTGTAGAAATCAAATTGACGTCGCATACACAGATTTTAGTAAAGCGTTTGATAAGGTGTCTCACAAACAATTGCTTCTGAAACTGAGACAATTTGGTGTTTCAAAGAGTATGCAATCACTGTTAAAGTCTTTTTTAACTAATCGACAGTTATATGTTGAATATGAGAGTGCCAAATCTTTTAATTTCGTGTCAACGTCAGGGGTTCCTCAGGGCTCGAATTTAGGCCCTTTATTATTTGTTATTTTTATTAATGACATCTGTCATTGTATCAACTCTAAGAAACTCTTGTTTGCAGACGATATGAAAATTTATAGGGAAATAAAGGATACCTCAGATTGCATTGCTCTTCAAAACGACCTTGTAAACTTACATAACTGGTGTATCGTAAATAAACTATCTTTGAATACTAACAAATGCAAAGTCCTGTCCTTTTCCAGGAAAGTAAACACTGTCTTATACGACTATCAATTAGATAATCTTGTTATTCCCCGGATATATAATTACAAAGATTTAGGTATCTTATTTGACAGCAAACTGACTTTTTCGGAACACATTGAAAATTCTGTGCAAAGTGCAACAAAAATCTTGGGTTTTGTTATTAGAAACTGTAAAAAGTTTAAATCTTTAGAAGCCATCTTCTCTGTTTATTTTTCACTAGTTCGTAGCAAACTGGAGTATTGCAGTTGTGTTTGGAATACTAACCATTTAAAGTACATAAGTGCATTAGAATCTGTCCAAAGAAAATTTTTAAAATTTATTTACTTTAAAACACATGGCCGTTATCCTATTCGTCACTATGATTATAATTTATTGTTAGAAGAATTCAGTTTTGTGAGTCTGAGAAAAAGAAGAGAAATAGCAGATTTGATATTCATCTATAAATTAATTAATAATTCTATAGATTCATCTTCTCTGCTATCTCAATTTAATTTTCATATCCCACGTATTACATCAAGGTCAAATATAACATTTCATATTCAAGTGCCAAATTCACAACATCACTTTCACAGTCCTTTAACTACAATGTGTAGAAGTGTTAATCAGTATTCTGTTGATATATTTTTTCTAAAATTTTACCAATTTAGAGAGCAATGTTACAGATTGGTATCAAATTAGGTAATTAGAATGTAATTTAGTTAAGTAAGTATTCTCAAACTTTGTATTTTTAAATATTATATTATATACTCCTGTAATTGGGCTGATAAAGCCTGTTGGATGTATTAAATAAATAAATAAATAAATAAATAAATAAATAAATAAATAAATAAATAAATAAATAAATAAATAAATAAATAAATAAATAAATAAATAAATAAATAAATAAATAAATAAATAAATAAATAAATAAATAAATAAATAAATAAATAAATAAATAAATAAATAAATAAATAAATAAATAAATAAATAAATAAATAAATAAATAAATAAATAAATAAATAAATAAATAAATAAATAAATAAATAAATAAATAAATAAATAAATAAATAAATAAATAAATAAATAAATAATAACAATTCTAAAGAACTGAAGCCTTTAAGTCCTAATAGTGTTGTAACCGTGTTTAATTATATTAACAAAAATTGGGAACCTAGTAAAATAGTATCTAAACATTCAAGCCCTCGGTCATACTTAGTTCAAAATCATGAAGGTAATGTTATTCGACGTAATCATAGCGATTTAAAAGATTCTTCAAATGACTATGTACCCACTTCTTGTTTAGATCCTGATATTACTGACAAGCTTATACATAATAATTGTAAAAACATGCAGCCTCAAATTGATAATGAAATATTTAGGTCCCCTGTCTTGAATGACCCCTCATTGTCTCTTCCACAATCTAGTACTATTCGGGTACCCGAGGCTAACCCGATAATGTATAAAACCAGGGCTGGCCGAAATAGTAAGAAACCGGTTAAGCTAGACTTATAAAGGGGAGATGTACGATATTAGGTTAAGTAGCCCGTTGTTGGCTTGCTAACAACTACATAGTTGATGTCATTCGTTTGTAAGTGTTGGCACAACTGAGCGCCTTAGAATGACGCATCTCTTCGGTTGTTAAAAATATGCATGTACATTTTTAGTAACTTTAAAATAATGAAGACTCTTATTTCGAGATAAGCTTGTTTCATTCAAAGTACAAAATATTACACAGTTCAATGTGGATTTTTTAATGTTCAACTGAAAGTAATTTTCTGAAGTTTGCCAGCCAGATATAAATATAAAAACATTGGGAGTAATCATAATATATAAGTGTCTGGGATCCATATTTAGACGAATATGGGCAGAAAATAAAGTACCAAAGGGAGTAGGAGACAAATATAAATACAGGAAAGACGATAAAAAAAATTTAGATAATTTGAAAATTCGGAAACAAATCTCAAAAATTACGAATTATTATTAAGACCCCAATAGTGAAAACAAATACTTGTAGATTAAAAAAAAACCTGTTATCGTCTGGAGTCGAACTTAGACCTCCATGTTTTCCAGACGTGTGCTTTTACCGTCAGGCTATCAACAACATTGACTGTGAGGTATATATAACGATAATAAAAACAAAGGTAAAAATGCATGAAGAACAAATCTTTTACAAAAAGGGAGACCAACTCAAGATTACATTAGTATAATAAAAATGTAATAAAGAACGGTAAAAGGATAAATATCTGGTATTTATAGACTGGGAATTTGAAGTGAACAGAAAAATCATAGAGGTAATCAAAGAGTATTATTTATAAATGGGTGGAGTAAGAATGAAAGGAAAACATCTTACAAGTTTGAGTGGAGAAAGGGTTGAAACGGGGACATAGTCTGAGCCCACTACTATTTATAATTATTATTTATATGGATTGAATATGAAAAAAGCTATTTGATATAAAAATGTAAGATCAGTAAGCATCCATAATCTAATTTATGCAGACACCATATTACCCATGACAGAAGAAAAGGAGAATTACAAAGAATGATAAATAAATGGGAGGAAACAATAAACAATATGGATATGGAAATAAATACTAGAAAGACAAAGGTGATCAAAATTAATGGAGGAAAAGGATGGTGAAGAAATATCAAATTTGTAGATTAACTAGAGGAGATTACAGCAATAGACTACTTAAGAATAAAGTTTAGAAGCAATGGAAAAATTCACAAGGAAATATTAACATACCAAATAAACAGAACAGTACTCAGAAAAAAAAAATATGAAAAAAAAAAACCCAATGCTCAACCCAGTAGTTATTCTCACCCTAACATACGGAAGTAAAACATGATGGATAAAAAAAAACAGAAAAATACAGGAATGGTAACCAAAATTAAACATTTAAGGAAGATCCGCAGGAAAAACAAGAAGATGCAGAAATGAACACAGACGGTAATTAGTCATTCTGTTTATATTTGTGTGATCATATTGTAGGATAGCAGATTATTTAGTTAATAATTAATTAGTGAAAATTCCATTAGTTTATGGTGAGTGATGTGGAAACTGCTACTGTTAAGATCAGAAAGACATTTCCTGATTTTCTGGTGCGCGAAGTTGTGTAACCCCGCACAACTGTGTTCCTGTTTGGCTGCCAGCGAGGTACTCCCTCTCTCTCTCTCTTTTTGCTGTACAACCGCTACCCGATAAAAACAATTTTGTAGCTCCGTTAGTAATCAGTGTTTTTATTCAATAAAATAAATAAAATAAAAAGTGAATAAGTTATTTACATTCGTTTTTAATCAGCTACATAATCGGTATTGTAAACTTCGAACGCTTTATGTAGCACCGATATAGTAGTACATGACACTATATAAGTAATTAATTCTGATTTACCACCACTTACCTATAACTGGTTTCTTCCCACATCTTCATTAGAGGCAGTACCGAGCTTTCGAGACAGGCATTATTTACAATTACTCCAAATTTGGACTTTACACCATATCCTACAGTTTTTCCTATTGTAAATACCGGTACATTATGGCTCTGAAATTAAAAATAATATATTAGAATAAAAGTCAAGTATGCTGAATTATTAACTTTTTCTATGACCACATATCCATTTTTTTACAAATGAAGAGCACAGGGTAAAAACGGACATGCAACCAGTTTTTTAAAGGGCAAGAAATTTAATTATATTATTTTTTAATAATGTAAATTCAGTTTTGTGTAAGCAACATGTTTATATAACATTTTTAAATAAATATATTTAGTTTTGAACATTAAAATTGTATTTATTCGTTATGTAAGTGAAATGACGTCTGTTTTTTCCCTGTACCCTTAAAATTATATTACAATTTTAAGTGATGCGTAGACTTAGTAAGGACCCTTCTAGAATGAGGAAATAACGGCTAGTTGAAACGGAAGAAAGTCTACAGGAGCGCGAAAATATATGTGTTTAATAAATTAAGAGACAAAAGTCAAGAAGATCAAGACTAACGCTTTATTACGATTCCAGATAATTTAACTAATGAATATGATGAACATTGTGTTCATCGACTTAGTTTAATTCACAAGCGAAGAAAATTGATGAAGTTACGACCAGTTATAATAAACGTAAATGAAGAAAGTGACGATGTACTCAGGCAAGACGATAAGGAGGGGGTAGGGGGGGGGGGAATTACCAGGGCCTGTGCGCATATTCGGAAACCGCCGACACGTTAGGCACTTGGAAAATTTCGGTGCCGCGATTGACAAACTCGTAAAATGCCGACGTGTTAGAACTAATACGTCGTCGATTTATAAAATAAGAAATATGTTTGATTACTAGACACATCAATCAATGGCGCATCCAGAGTTTAAGTCTGGTGGGGGTAGTGGTAATTTTGAGACTTTATTTTTGATAATAATACAGTTTAATACATATAAAAAGTTAGGTTTACAAATTCTTGTGGGATAATTACCCCCATTGCCACTCGTATATACGCCTCTGACATCAATCATTACTCTTCAGAAACAATTTTAGTTTTAGTTTCCCTTTTCTATTACCTATATGCAAGTTTCTATGTAGATTATTTTGTAATTTATTGTCATAATGGGTGATTTTAAATTAATAAAATTGGTTATAAATTCAAATTGAATTCAGAGACATATTGCCTAATACCCCATATAGATACAGTTTTCAATTATAAAGGAGTATTGTGTAAAAGGAAACGAACTCAAGGTACACGAAATAGAAGACAAGCATATAGGTATCTCAGTACAACATACATCCATTGGTCGCAGAAAGACAACAATGGGAGGAAAGAAGGCAATGCACAGTAGAAGAAAACTAGTTAAAAAATACAGTTACGAAAGCACCTCATTCGTTGGCAATCTGTGTTAAAAATAATGTAGATGTAGGAGGAAATAGGTCAAAAAATCAGTATTTAGACACATTAAATTATCTTTTCATTAAAAATTAAAGATAATTTTCAGATTTAAAAATATGTATGCGACAATAGTTTCAAATGTATTTACTATTGTTAACAATTGACCTTTCTGAATTTGAATTAATTTTCCTAATTCCTAATATACCTATCCTAATAATATCTGTAATTGTATATAAATTCATAGATAACACGTATTTGTAAATCGCCAAGGTATTAGTTTAACACGTCGAGATTTTAGGAGGCTGGTATTCTCGATACCGAACTGATCCGAGTAACTAACGTGTCGGCCGTTTCCGAATATGCAGCCCGGGAACTAGGGGGGGGGCGGCAGCTTTAGGTGAGGACGTTCTATTTTTTTAGAAGTTCATCACAAAGGAGTTTACGAAAACTACGAGGTGAGGACCTTTTTTTTTAGATTTCACTAAGGATCTGATTTTTTGCCTGCGGCCATTTAACTTGATTTTTATACAAATGTCCCGGGGCCCCACAAGGCTCTCGGCGACCCTGGATGTACTGTATAGTAGACGACACAGATAAAAATTTTATTTCACAATTACATATCATTATTATTAATATATCTACATATAATTCACAAAGACACCGCCGACGTTCAGCTTAGAAAACGAAAACATAGTTGTCAAACTGCAAAAATAAAGTGATGCATTCAATTCTATTACAACTTAATGACTGTGTACGCTTAGCATATATGCTGAAAGCTAGAGTCAAATAAATATTTTATGCCTGGCATCGCTGTAGGATGAGAATTTGTCGGCCCGATTAATTATAACACTTTAATTTTAGCGTCTCCTATTGGTTGAATCGAGCCTTTCTGAAATTTCTATTTTGCTGTAGCCCAACTATAGCCCGTAAAAAATGCCCGTCCATGTGGACTGGGATATCCAATAGTAATTCTTTGATCTTGTTCAACTTATGTTCTAATTGGTTATTTGGCACGCTTCTAGGTGTCATCGTCGTGTTGACCGAGCACAGACGGACAATGTTTGTTTATCCAGTGTTGTATTCACATTACTGTTTGGATTTTTGGTTTATAAATAATGGCTTTATGGAGGCCCTTTGAAAGTGATGAAAATAATGTAATTCCTGAAGGTATGCAAATAATTATAATTCTGATTAACTATTTTTTAAATAAATAGGCTCAGTTGCACCTCAAGAACAACTAAATTCACATTTAAATACCCACATAAATTGTAAAATTTAAACAGTTCAAAGTCGGCTTTGGCAGTTTACATTATTGGTTACCTATACAGGGTGATTCACAAAGAAAATATATTTTAAATGCAAATTATATAGTGGAAAATGTTAATTTTAAACTGAGAAAATGTAAAAAATATAAAACCTGTACGAGAATACTTTATGGGTGTATCATATCCACCTACAGTAAAAAAGATTTTCTTGCAATATTGAAAGACTTAAATCTCAAACCTAGCTATGTTGTGGATTAGATGGCTAAGGCATTCGTTCATACTGTAATATATTTACCACCATATTATCGTACATTAAATGACATAAAATTAATTTGGAGTAACATCAAAAGGAAGGTCAAAAAAACAAAAATTAATCCTGCGTTGTCTGAAACCGTTTTAGATATTATCAGAGAAATTGTTGGAGGGTATATCTCAAGAATTATGCTCCAATTGCGTTCTCCGTTTTACCAATTGAAAATAACCATCGAATATTTCCGGCTCATTCTTGCATTATATATTTGAATGACATGTCACGTAAAGATGATAGTTCTGATGTAACCACGCATCTGTTGGTTCATGTTATTTTGGAAAGTAATACGGTATTATTCCTATTTTCCTTTTCTAGGAATGTAACCTTGACGTGCTGAGAAGGCGTGCATGCTTCAATCACTTTAAAAATTAAAGCCAGACTAATACATTCCACAGTAATTTAAATTTTTTATAATAAGAGGATACTAAGAACAGTTGTTCAAGCATTTATCGTAATATCTTTCATTGATTTTTAATATTCAATGCAATAATTAAATACTTCAAGTAAAAAAAAAAAAAAATAGTAGATGAAATATTATAGTTTCATTACAAGCCGTGAATATTTATTTTTGATCAATTTCGTAAGTGTTGCCTTTAAAACTTAATTTAGTGATATTTATTAAATAATCGAAGAAGGAAATTATGCGAATAATATGATAATCCAAAAAGGTAAATCAAACGAGGGTGGTCCTTAGGATCTCACAAGAGTGTTTTATTACGACCGGTTTCGAGGATCAGATCCTCATCATCAGGTAAGGTCTAAAAATAGAGAGGAAAAACGAATGAGCTCATAACTAATAAGTGGGTTTAAACATTTTAATATGAAAGTTGTCAAATATCAAGAACTCACCCGTAATTACTCATCATTTTAACAATAATAATTTATTTATTTGATTTTGTTTATTAAGTACAAATTCAAACAATTCATTTTATAAACCTATATTATTATTAAGAAACATTTATTTTTTTCGCCAACGCCATCTATTAGCCGATGGTCAAAATATTTAAATTTGGCAACCTCTAAACTGTTATCTTAAATATTAGAATGGTTAATTCGTCTATTTATATCTTGAGGGCGTTAATCAGTTATTTAATCTAAATAAAATTTAATTCCTGTAGAATTATAAACACTTGTCCAAGAACCCATTTTAGTGCTTGTAGGGTTTTTAAATTTGTTTGTCTTAATTGTTCGTCCGTTCGTGAAATATTTTAATAATTTTAATTAATAGTTTTAGACCTACTTTTGTTTATGTGTTTTGACATCAACTTTTTGTTGCAACTATTGTTTTTTTATATTTTTTTATGTATTTTAAAAAATACTCGCATACTTGTTTTTACACCGACCCTGGGATAATTCTCTTAGCTTAGTCTTAAATAGATGAGTAATTACGGGTGAGTTCTTGATATTTGACAACTTTCATATTAAAATGTTTAAACCCACTTATTAGTTATGAGTAAAGACCGGACAATTTAATTTATTCTTATCAGCGAAGTAACGGTAAGAGCGGACCTTCGATTTGAATAATACATTCTGAATAAAACAAGTTATTTACTGAACTGGTCGACACAGTAGATAAGATATTGGATTTTTATCGCCCGGGCGTAACATTTGGGGCGGGCTTATTATTACATTTACATTGCAATAATTATTTTATTAAATTTTAGTTCAAATTTGGTTGGATATTATTATATAATTACAAATGATATTATTATTTATTTTTTTATTGTGTTGTGGGATAATGTTGTTGGCTTTTTCTGTTAATATATTATTGACTAATAAATATATCAACGAGGATACACCATCATTAGTTTTATGTTTAGAGTGTTCCAATATACACTCTTTATCCTAAAGTAGCAAATATACAATTATATACAATATATACAATACAAATTAATATCAATCTTCTTCATTTGAAAAATATGTTTGTATGACTGCATATTTTTCTAAATTGTCTTCAGTGAAATTACTTCTTTTAGAAGTCAATAAATCTTTAAACCTAGAAAACGATCGTTCTACGTCACAACTCGTTACAGGAGCAAATGAAAAATGTGGAACAAAATCACAATATTTTAAAGCAGTTTCATAATCGTTAAAATTGTT